TGACTTAACGTCATTGAAGTATAGTATTGGCGAGATCACGTTGAATAGAGTACTTACGATATGTCTCCAGCTCCAGAAATCACATGACATTTGCTGTTTCGATTTGAAAGGTGGGAAATTAATGTTACTTCGTCAATTAGAACAAATTACTACTTACTCAATAGTAGTTCAGCAATACAAGTTAATGTACATTGTAGAAAATATCGCTTTACCACAAGGCAGAAATGACGCAAATATTTTATTGCACTCGCAAACGTACTAATGACTTCAGTTATTTAAGCTATGAGGTTCTACTGGGAATTCAAACTCAGGGACACACGCTAAATCTTATTGGTAGTGTAATAAGAAGTGGACTATCGCTTCCATTTTCAAGAAATAACTATGATTAGTGTGATGGAGTAGAGAACAAAAGTTTAAAAAGTGCGAAAGCTAAAAAGCTGAGGAACTTAGTAAAACGGTGATAGTCCCTACCCCACGCCATATTCAAGTTGATTTCTGAATACAGACAAAGCGATTTTTGGCAAGTATTGATAAGAAAATATTCGCTCCGAAGTAATATAATATATTTTCAAGGGCAAATCAGCTAAAGATATTTCCTCTCAACCCTCATCATGTCCTTCGTGAAGGAATATACTTCCTGCCGCGACATCAAGGAGAACGATAATTTGAATAACTATATTTTCCACTGAACTCTAGCAGACGTGCACAGATAGTGAAGTTACATGTCCAGAAGCAAAACAAGGGCCATCTCATTATTAGCTCAAAGGATCAGGGAAACTAGATACAAAATCTCATGGATCCAAAAGCTGAGGTATATTACCCTGAAGTGCCCAAGGAACTGGTACACCTGCCTATTATCGTGTAGGGCCCCCGCGCGCACGTAGAAGTGTCGCAACACGACGTGGCATGGTCTCGACTAATGTCCGAAGTTGTGCTGAAGGTAATAGTTGAGGCTGCGAAATATTACTTGCATAAATTGGGAGAGCATTAGAAGAAACTGCCCCGAACATCGCCTTTTTTATCGAAAATTTTCATCAGACCAGAATCTTCTGGTAAAGAAACGATACATAATTGACAAAGATTGTTACTTTGCAGAAAGAATCAATTAGTATTGAACAGGTTGTCATTGTTACCTGTCTAGACGAAATTAAACGTTTCGTCACGAATATCATGTTTTAATGCACGCTAGACTGCAGAAAGGTGGTGGGAATTGCCTGGTAGTGTCCCGAATCGAACTTTGAAAGCGCCCAACACATTTCACTTAGCTTTTGTGCACGAAACTGCTCGCGGCTCATGACAACGCGAGTCTCAGTGGAAAGAGCTGGATTCCGAGAATTCTGACAATGGCACATAATTGTCGCGACCGCCCATGAGCTGCTGCGACCTCTTGGTGACACTCCGAACTAACAAGAAGCAACGACAACGACGTCAAAGAATTTTGTACGAAAGAAATGAGTATTTGGTTAACTGGGAAGGAATTCGCGCGTTTTTTGAGTAAAGTTAGACCATCTGAGCGGAAGTTTGAAATGTATGACATTTTCTTCTTAAATGCCTTCAAAGATCAGAGAAACTACGCTGTTAGAAACTTGAATCAATTTGGCGGTCAATATGCCAACTGTAATTGACATTAAGAATCCTTCAAGGCTGTTCTTAAAGTCATAAGAGAACGAAGGGGTGGAGATCTCTTCTGAACAGCACGTTGCAAGGCATCCCAGATTTGCTCAATAATGTTACGTTCATTTTGGGGAATTTTGGTGGCCAGTGGAAGCGTTTAAATTCAAAAAAGTGTTCTTGAAGACTCTCTGTAGCAATTATGGTCGTGTGGGCAGTCGTGTTGTCCTGCTAGAATTCCACAAGTCCGTCGGGGTGCACAATGGGCATGAGTGGGTGCAGGTGATGTCACACGTTACGTACGTGTCACATGCCAGAGTCGTATCTAGACATATCAGGGGTCCCATATCACTCCAACTGCACACGCCCCATGCCAGCACAGAGCCTCCACCAGCTTGAACAGTCCCTTGTTGACATGCAGGGTCCATGGATTCATGAGGCTGTCGCCATACTCGTACACGCCCATTCGCTCGAAGCAATGTGGAACGAGTGAAGTCGTAGGCTTCCGCGATCAGAGTCATGTGGGTGATCTGGGCTGTCCGGGTGACGCCGCGTCGAAGCTAAGTTTGCCGACGTGTCGCACCATCCTGAGGAAGGCTACCAGCCCTGAGGGAGACCACGACAGTATGGTCGCGAAACGTCGGCAAACTCAGCCTTCGACGCGGCGTCACCCGACAGCCCAGATCACCACAATGTGTGGAACGAGGACTCGCTCCAGAACAGATAATGTTGGATCCGGTCACCCACATGCAATGTCGCTGTTTTGACCCGAGTTGCAGGTGAGGCCGGAGAAAGCTTTGTTGTCGGGCTGTATTTAAAAAGGTACGCGAGCGGGCCTTCGGGTCCGAAACCCCATATCGAAAAATGTCTCCTTGAATTTTTCGCACGCTGACAACTTGTTGATGACCCAGCATTGAAATCTGCGGACGCAATTTGCGAAAGTCTTGCGCTTCTGTCACGAGTAATGATTCTTCACAGGTCGTTGTCGGTTCTGTCCTTGCACGATCAATCTTGCGGCCACCGCCGATGCTGGAGGTTTGATGTTTACCCGGGGGGGGGGGAATTTTTCCGATATTCACGGTACACTCGTGAAATGGTCGTACGGGAAAATCCAGATTTCATCGTGACCTCGAAGATGCTATGATCCATCTCTCTTGCGTCGATAATAACACCACATTCAAACTCACTTAAATCGTGATAACCTGCCATTTTAGAAGCAGTAACCGATCTAACAACTGTGCCGGATTCTGGCAATCTCATATAGCCGTTGCCGACCGGAGAGCCGTTCTGATTGGTTCCAGATCTCTTTATTTCAATACGCATGGCTGTACCAGATTTTTTGATCTTTAATGTACTTGTCACAGTTTGTTTAGAATTACAGAGTTAAGAGCTTCAGTCGAAAGTGTAAACAATGCATTAAATATCACTGCTAAAATTAATATTGCTTTCCTTTTTGATTCTTGGTATAGTCTCTAATCGTACAGAAACAGTTACGCAGCAGAGAAGATTTTTAATTGGGAAGCAAACTTGTGTATCGATTTTAATGTTTTGATGTCATCTGGCAAAGTGTAAAGCCGGTCCGGATAGCCGAGATCGTTAAGGCAGTACTGCCGAAGCGATCTCGGGCCGAAGGATCGCGATTTCGAGTCCCGCTTCGGGTACGATAGTATTTGTATTCGTCTTTTCACCCCCATAATCACCATACCATGTCACTTGCACAGTTTCCGTACCGTTAAATGCAATAGTGATCGCTAATGACCTAGATGTTGATGATATCTTAAATAAAAAAAAAATACTCGTGAAATAATGTAGTACGTGTATTGTAAGTAAATTTTTTGTGGTGAAGTGTTGATACTGCCATCAGATGAATATGTTTACTACATAGAGTGTTATAGTTATACACATCGGCGTTTGCTGATTATATTTACACCGTTGAGTAAGTCATTTTTGACAGAAACGACTGATTCGTAAATAGAGACAAGGTAACGGTAAAATTCCGAGATTAATAGAGATTTACAAGAATCACTTCTCTTTGGGAGGACGCTCAAAAAGCAAGGAGCGTGTGGATACAGGATGTTCCAATTTAGTCGGAGACACGAGTGATCATTTCTTTGTGATTATTTTGCGAGAGGTGGATCTCGTGATGATTTGGCTGACTTGCACAATGTCAGTCAAGTGACTGCAAGTCGCATTATACTGATACAGTACTGCAGTAAACTATCAATTATTAACACATTTATTTGTAACCTACATGAAAAAAAAGTTCATTATGAACCTGACAAAGATAATACAAAGACTGACAAAGACTATCGTCTATCAATTGCAATTTCCGTATTCTACCGGCTTTTCTTGCGAGTGCTTTAGAATTTCAGACGTTGACGGCGATGGAGATGATAGTTTAGTGATGACCTTCGTTATCAACGCACTACACAGAATACACTCAGTAGCCACAATTTAAAAAAGCGATCATAATACTTTAAAGCGAGTATCTTGGACACTTATTCACTCTGCGCATCTCAAAGAGTTTTATTACGTGTGTAGAAAAAACACCGAGGAAAAATGTGTATCGCGAACTTTCTGCCACCCACCCACGTGGCAATGTTTACATTCACTTCGTTCTCTCGTGGGACAAAGAATGGTTATGGGCAATACAAACGATCGCAATGTGTGCTTAAGATGTTGCGGATAGGTACATTGGGTCCAGTAGCTTTATAACATAAATTAAAGTTCAAAAATATGGGATTACTATTTGAGTATTATCACTTCAGAAAATTCCTGCATTGGATTTTCTTGTCTACAAGTTTGTCTTGTCATTGTTTATCATGAAATTGCAACATACGCTCTGACTGTATCGTGGTTAGGCCCCTAGCCAGCTTTCAGTTTCAGAAGAGCAAGATCTTTTTAGGAAGGGTAACAATTGTGCCGTTCACACGAGTCCTAATTAATAAATTCGCCCTTAAAACCATTAAGAGACACCCATGAGGACGATTAACACATGAGAGTAGGAAAGACAGACGATTCAAAATCATTCAGATTCTTCCACGAGAGATTTCAATTAATTTCGATCACACTGCTCAAATGCGCACATAGTGATTGATTGACGATTCCGGTCGCGCCGACTACCAAACTCATTAGTCCCGTAAGTGTAGTGCATGCGACCTTCCTCCCGCTGATGGTCGATCTACCGCCGGCTGGGGGGGGGGGGTCCGCACCCAGGGGTACCTCTGTCTCTCTGTCGTGAGCGGGAGCGGGAGCGGACTCACCCCGGGCGGCGAGCGCGCGCTGCCCGTGGGACTGGGGCTCTTCTTGAGGTAGTGCGGGCCGGGGCCGGGCCCGGCGCCCGCGGGGCTCTTGACGGCCGAGAAGCGCCGGCACTGGCGCAGCACCACCTCGGGCCGCCCGCCGCGCGGCTCCTTCTTGCGGCCGCCGCCCGCGCCGCCCAGCACGCGCGAGTGGCGCCGGTAGCAGAAGCACGTCACGGCCGCCACCGTCACCAGGAAGAGCGTGGCCCCCAGGCAGATGCCCACCAGCGCCGGGGTGGTCACTGCAACACACACGCGCGCGGCTCAGCGGCGGCTCCCAAACATTCTCAGACACACAGACACAGACAGGGAGACGGACAGAGGGAGACGGACAGAGGGAGACGGACAGAGGGAGACGGACAGAGGGAGATGGAGAGAGGGAGATGGAGAGAGTGGGAGAAGAGGGCAAGAGAGAGGATGAGAGAGGGCAAGAGAGAGAGGCAAACTACACCACAAGTAATGGGATGAGAAGTAGAGATTTTAAAAATATACTCATTTTTGTACTCATAAGAGATCACAGGAAAGGGGTTGCAGGTTAAATGGAAGTTTCCATTCCTTTATTTCGAAAATACAGTTGTGTTTGTCGTGTTTGCGATGACAGAAAAATTGGGAGGAAAGCAACAATTTGTTTCTGCAAAACGTGTTTCGGTGAGCCATCAATGTATCTTGGAGAATGTTTCCAACCATTTATACAATTAACAAATTAAAGAAACATTAATAAATTGTAAATTAATATAACGCATGTAATTTATTTTGCTAAACAAAAGTCGTTAAAAATTAGTGAATTGTACATTTTTACCTTGCAAAATATGCTTAAGAAATACCAAAATAAATTATCTTATTTATTGAATTTATTTATTTTATTTCAATACAATAGTTTTGAAGCGTGGATTTAAATGAGTAAAGATTATCTATGAACGCTTCACGTATCAATTGCTCAGAACGTATGAACGTCTAAATCAGCACGCACAGCGCCCGAACAGCAACGAGAAATCACTGTAGGCACATGTCAGTGAAGGAAACAGCGACATCAATGGACAATCACCATATAATGGATAATTGGTAGTTGTATATTTATCAAATGTGGGTGGCTTAAGAACCACTTCAGACTGTTCAGGAAATGTTTTTCTATTTACAGATATAGGAGGCTATAACACTGAAAAAGAAACATAATATATTGTGATGGAAATTTCGAAAGTTTTCGCTTTTACCAATCCACTTCATTTAGAGTTAACATTATTCATTAGTAACAAGTGAATGTGATTTGATACATTTATGTACTTATGACCTTCGAGTGTATTGTCTGGGTCTTGTTTGAAGAGTTTATAAATAAATAACGAATTCAATAATATCCTAATGTAGTACGTAAAAATGTTAACGTAACAATTATGAGTCGGCGCAAAAAGTAGTTTTTTGAAGCAGCTTCAGGATTATAAATTTAAAAGCAACAAACATGAAGACGTATTAATAGTGAATGTAAAATTAATCGTTGTAGCAACATCGAAAAAGTTTTCCTGATTGATTTAGGTCTGACTGATTACCCCCAGGAAGATTTTCTGCCCTCGCAACTGGCTTTTGTTGCACTTTATTCAAAGCGGACTAGTATGCTTAAAAGCCGCCCCCTAGGCCCCCCGCCATACGCAGTTTTCTATCCGCATTTTTTTCCTCGTGAGAAATTCTTTCATTAAATCATATAATTCAATAAAAAATACTTTGATCTGGAAACTGCAATTGCTGTTAAATTAATTTATATTTCTTTATCAGTCTTGGCAATTTTAAGAGAAAAATGAAAACAAGTTCAATATAAGCAAATTTCAGCGTTTGGCAGTGCAACAAAATGAGTGAAGAGCAGAAGAGATATTTGACTAGATCATAATACGTTGTATGACGAACTGGGTTGTCATGTGTAAATAACTGCTATTTTTCGACGAAGCAACATACATTAACCTTTAACATTTACTCTTCCTATAATTTAGTGTACATTGCTATGACGTGAAAGTGACGAGAACATACTACGTCAATCAGCGCTGTATAAGTAAATATTTGCATAATATGTGTACGCTTATTAATTTGGAGTTTGGGTCTTGAATTGTTCGACAGATATCCACATTTATATTCCTAATGACCACATTTTTCAAACAGTTAACAAATTCTGTGTATTAATATTGATTAACATATAATTTAATTGTTGCCAATGAAAACAATGGAAAAAATAGAGTTAGGTGCGGAAGCAAGGCCAATAAATGGACAAGTCCATAAAAAGGGTTGATCACAGACGGTAGGAATGCAGTTGATAATATAATTTCATATCACTTTCATTGATGAGCTTGCGAAAATAGATATGAAATATATAGCTTCAACAACTGAGTTTTTTGAATACTCTGAAGATTTTTCTTTCTTTCATAGAATCGACATTTACAGGTCAATGGTTTGAATGTGGCTTGATATGCTGCATGTTCCTTGGTATTCTTAGAGGTGTTATTATCCCACAAGTCTCAACGGACAATGAATAATTCATACCCGATTTGAAACGAGAAAATTTCTGCCTGTGCAATATAAACTAGCCGTCTGCTACCTTGCCATTCCCAAGGTGGAAGTCGTGCCCCGCAAAAGGAGAAAAAGTTGAGAACCCCCCGACGGCCGGCGGCTCCGTGACACTCAGCCCGGTGTGTCGCGCCCGCAACCGGCGCGACACGCGACGCCGCGCCGCGACGGGGCGCAGCCGAGAGGCGCGCGCAGGAGGTGTGGCGGGCGGGTGGGGGGGGGCTTGCCCCCCCCCCTCGAGGGGGTTCGAGGCTGCGGGCCGGCACCGCTCGCCGCAGTGCGGAAGCGCCCGATCGCCCCTAGGCACGCCGGCCGGCCCCTCCCCCTCCCCTCCCCAACCACCACCCCCACCCCCACTCGCCCCCGCGCGCCGCGAGTCAGGGTCATCGCGATGGCCGAGGGGCGGCGAAGAAGGGAGGTGCTCGCTCAGGGTCGCCCCGCCAGGGGCGCTTCTTACAAAGTAAAAGATCTAAGTCAAAGTGATTCTTATTTTCCTGCGAGTTGTGAAGTTATGTAAAATATTGTAGTGTTGGGAATATCCTTTACATATCGAAATAATCTAGAATCTATACGGCGTAAATGTTCTATACCATCCAGGAGAATATGATAATTAATATAAATATACAAATGATAACAGTGTTTAAAGCTCTTCTGATCATTTTATTGGTAACACTAGAGAACAAAAAAAATGTTCTTACCTCTAGGATGAAAATAGGTGATTTCAAAGGAGATAAACTCGTTGATTTCTAAAACTATTATAAAAAGTTTCTATCACGCAGGGTTCAAAAGATATGTTCATATTTATTATTTAAAATAAATCAAATCCTATACAACATTCAGCATTATCACTCCGGTTATATTGCTACAAAATTTTACGAGCATACTCCATATGAGGGAAGAATAAGTTAAAAATGGAATACACTTATTCATGCAATAATAATGAAACATCTTGGAAGGTTAAATTCCTATTTCATTCCTTAAAAATGCTTTGCGCCTTGTCACTTACTCTGTTATCCTGTCTAATCTCTCTGACAAGAAACTAGCAATAATCTCCCATCATTGCAGGTTCCTTACATTCTTGGTATCTCTTCTTCATTGTAACAATATCGTGATGAAACTGTTCCCCGTGTTAATAACTAATATCACCGAAATTCTGTCGAAAAAATTGAAAAAATGAAATATCAGAGACCTTCTATACCTCATCGTAGCTTTCTAACCATTCTATGACCAATGTTCTGTAACTGTCTTATTTATTTGTCCAGAGAAATGCATACACAACTCTCTTAAAGAATTGCCAAGCTACTAACTCAGTGTCTCGCAATTTTTCTTCCAATATTTGCTTCTTTCTATTTCTGTTAGTTTTCCAATTTGTGAGCCGAAGAAAATTCCTTTCTTCAATTTTGCATTACTCATCCGTGGAGTTAAATAATTCATAATAATAAGTGAAATTACTTCTTAGAAACAAGATATTGAAGAATCTATAAAAAATGCCTTTCATATAGATTACAGAGAATTTACAATTCACTCATTAACCCCCTAATGTCTGCATGCTATATATTTTTATCCTACCAATCCACTATCATGCGTTGAATGCATGGCAAAGAAGTGAGAAATGAAGGCCACTACACGCAATGTGCCGCCGCGAGCCGAATAGCCCTTTGATTTACAGTTCTGTTTCATAAAACCTCCCACCACTCTGATTTGTTCATTTTATGCGCTGCGTTCATTAACATCCACATATTATTGGAGACCGTTGATTTATTGGTTTGTTCTGGAACGTGATGGTTGTAACTCATGTCAACTTCAGAATAAAATCAGAATCCTACTTCAATTTTTCAATTACATGCCCTGTTGAAATACTGAATGACTCACTATAGGGAGCATTTTGACAAATAAAATGAACCATGCATCACATCTTTCATTCAGTGGGGTCGTTTCTGTACAACACACACCGTTTCGAAAACTGAAGGGCTGCGAATTGTCGTAACTCAGAGATTAAAAAATGTTGCTACAGATTTGCACAGACTTTCGCGAATTAGTCTGCTATTTCCATTGGTTTCCGCTATCTATTCGGACTTGCCACATTCTCTGACCATCGCCGTGCAAAGTACATGTTTTGAAATTTTTCGCCTTCCAATAGTAGAACGGAAATATTATTTTAAGAATATTAAAGAACAGTGAAACCTTGTCCTAAATGGCCATTTTCTTTGAAAAATTTGGAGCCTTGTTTTAAGCAAATGGAATTTAAGCGTTACTGTAAATTCGAAATTTGAACCTCTTTTCACAGAAAACTATGAGATTTGAAAAGCTTGCAAATATTTAATATGCGTTAAATATTACGTTATTGCAAATATTTAACGCAATATTGCTCGAAAACGACCAATATTTTCAAATCAATGTACCCGATCTTAAAGAAAGAACTTATTATGGAGAGAACAAATTTTGTTTGAAGGAAAATCTTCATCTTCAGTTTTGTAGTTGTAGGAAGACGTCCGAAAATATTAAAAAAATTCAAATATTCAGAGTTAAATCTGAAAATCGGCTAAATGCCGCCTTTATAAGTATTTTATTTCACTCTATAAGTGTATTATTTTTTAAGAGAACTTTAAAGAAAACATTTGGAGACATTTTTGAGAAAATTTGAAAATTTCCCAGGTGATTCATGTAAAGTACCCCCAAATTTTGAAGAAAGTGTTCC